CAACATGGGGCTCTATCTAACACCATGGATCATGACCTGAGCTGAAAATCAAGAGTTGGATGCTTAACTGATGGACCCACCCAGGCACCCCTTAAGGGCAAACATTTGAGGGAAGTTAAAGATCTATGTAAATGGAGAGACATATGACATGCATGTGTTGAAAGAGTACATATTTTTAGCAATGTTAAAATATCAATTGCCCCCAAACTGATCAGTAGATTCAGTAAAATATCAGCCAAACTCCCAGCAGGAATATTTGTAGTAACTGATCACCTCATTTAAAAATTCATGTAGGGGCATCTGGATGGCTTAGTTGGTTGAGTGTCTGACTTCGGCTCAGGTCATGATCTCACAGTTCATGGGTTCAAGCTCCACTTCGAGCTAGCTAATGTCAGCACAGAGCCAGCTCTGTCCTCCTCTCTCTGCCCCTTCCCTGCTTGTGCTCAAAAAATGAAAAAAAATCATGTAGAAATGCCAAGGACCTAGACTAGCTAAGAAAACTGAAAGTAAGAAGAAAGTTGGAGGATTAACACTACCTAATTTTAAGATTTATGAAGCTACAATTATCATGATAACATGGTATTGATGTCAAGCTAGATCAAAAGGATGGAGGATCCAAAAATAGATCACACATATATGGACAACTGAGTTTTGATAAAGACACAGATGAAATTCAGTGGAGAAAGGACCTTCTTTTCAACAATGGTGCTGGAACAAGTTAAAATATATATGTAAAAAATGAACTTTGATCCAAACCTTACGCCATACACAAAAATCAACTGAAAATGGTAAAAAGTATAATTGTAGAATGCCACACTGTTAACCTTATTTAAAAAATACGAGAAAAGTTTTGTGACTTTGGGTTAGGCAAAGATTTCTTAGATACAACATCCACAGTGTAATTCATTAGTTAAAAAATTGATGAATTGAGCTTCATCAAACCTAAAAACTTCTGCTATTCAAAAGACTGTTAAGAGAATGAAAAGACCAGTTACAAACTGGGAGAAATATTTCCAAATTGTATCAGATAAAGAAGTTCTATCCAGAACATAAAAACGACTCTCTAAAGTAACAAATAAGAAAACAAACACCTCATTAAAGGTAGACGAGAAGATTCAAACGGATCCTTCAGCAGAGAAGCTATAGAAATGTCAAATTAGCAGGGGCACCTCGGTGGCTCAGTCAGTTAAGTGTCCGACTTTGGCTCAGGTCATGATCTTGCGGTTTGCGGGCTCTGTGCTGATAGCTCAGAGCCTGGAGCCTGCTTCGGATTTTGTGTCTCCCCTTCCCTCTGCTCCGCTTATGCTCTGTCTCTCTCTGTCTCTCAGTAATAAATAAACGTTAAAAAAATTTTTTTTTAGAAATGTCAAATAAGTACATCTTTAGACCATAACAAGTGACCAGCAAGGATGTGGAGAAAATACAACTGCCCAGATGGCGGGAACATAAAATGTTACCACCACTTAGGAAAATAGTGGCAGTTCCTTAAAAAGCTAGAGAGAACCTGTCATATCATCCAGCCATTCCACTCCTAGGTATTTATTAATCTAGGAGAAATCAAAGTTTATGTCCATCCAAAGAGTTGTGCATGGATAATCATAGCAGCCCTATCTCTAGTAGCCAGAATTGAAAATGACCCAAATAGCTATCAATTGGTGAACAGAAAAACAAATTGTGGTATATCCATACAATGGAATCCCCCTCTGCAATAAAAAGGAATGAACTATTGATTAAAGCATCTATACGGATGAATCTCAAAGTTATTATGCTGAGGGAATGAAGACCTATAAAAAAGAATACGTATTATATTATTTCCTTATATAACATTTTAGAAAATACAAACTAATCTATCATGATAGAAAGGAGGTCACTTGCTGCCTGGGGCTAGGGTGAGGAGGCAGAGAGGGTCAGGGGAGAGAGAAAGTACTTGAGGAAACTTTTGTGAATCTAAGTATGTTCATTATCTTGTTTGGGTTAATGGGTTCACTGGTAAATACATATGCCAAAACATGTCAAATTGTATACTTTAAACATATGTAGTTTATTTTTGTCAAGGATTTTTCAATAAAGGTGTTAAACTTTTCAGTAATATATTAATGCTATTTTCATTTATAACTTTCTTCTTAATTTTTTAAAATGTGTATTTATTTTTGAGACAGACAGAGAGGGGCGGGGTGGGGGGAGAGAACATGAGCAGGGGAGGAGCAGAGAAAGAGGGAGAGAGAATCCCAAGCAGGCTCCATGCTGCCAGTGCAGAGCCCTGATGCAGAGTAGAACTCATCCACCTAAGCTGCAATCAAGAGTAGGACACTTAACTGTCAGAGCCACCCAGCCGCCCCAAGAGGCTTTAAAAAAATTATTTTATTTGAGTATAGTTGACACAGTGTTACATTAATTTCAGGTTTACAACACAACGACTCAACTTCTCTATACATTATGTTGTGCTCCCAACAGAGCGTAGCTACCATTTGTCACCCTACAACACTATTAGAGTATCACTGACTGTAGTCCCCATACTGTCTGTGCCTTTAATTCTGGTGACTTTTTCATTCTCTCACTGGAAGCCTGTGTGTCCCACTCCCTTTCACCCATTTGCCCATCCTCCCTTCTTCCCCTCTGGCAACTCTCAGTTTGTTCTCTGTATTTACACATCTGATTCTGCTTTTTGTTTGTTTATTCATTTGTCCCCTCCCTATACCAGGAAGAGAAAGAATCCTTATCGTCAGAGACTGGAAATTGATGCTGAAATGGATCTGTACGAATTTACTGAAATAACCCTTGTCTTCCACTTGTTTTGCATCCCTTTGCCCCTACCCTACATTTCCTAGTTTCTTCCCCACAATTTACTACCCATAGCCCATACCCTTTTTTCTTAAAAATTCTTGACAAGTTGATTGTTTTTTTGTTTAAAAGGTATCGAAACTTCCTGCTCTGGTCACTTAAGATATTCACTCTCTCGTGAAGGCTCCCATGCATGTGTAAGAATTTAAAATGTGTATGCTTTTCTCCTATTAATTTGTCTTATGCCAGCGTAAGTGAGACCCAAGGGTGGTAGAGAAATTTTCCTCCCTTACAGAACTTATTATTGAACACCTACTGTTTTTACATCCATCACTTCATTTACTTTTCACAAAACAGAAGACATATCTTTTTATACCCATTTTACAGATGAATAAATTAAGCCCAAAGAAGTTAATGGAAAGTGGCAGAACTGGCCCTGAAATCCAGGTTTAACTGATTCCAAAATTATGGTACTTTCCATCAAACCAAAATACAAGAATCACAGGTAAAGAGTTTGGGGAGGGGGCACGTGGGTGGCTCAGTCGGTTAAGTGTCCAACTTTGGTTCAGGTCATGATCTCACAGTTTGTGAGTTCAAGCCCCACATCTGGCTCTCTGCTGACAGCTCTGAGCCTGGAGCCTGCTTCAGATTCTGTGTCTCCCTCTGTCTCTGCTCCTCCCCTGCTCGTGCTCTGTCTCTCTCTGTCAAAAATAAATACACATTAAAAAAAAAAAAAAAAACAGTTCTGGGGGCAGAGAATAAAATCCCTAACTCTTTCTGAGGAAGTCACTGACGGCTTTGCTATTGAAGAAACCCTATTACTTGAGAGGTAGTCAAGGCTCTCAAGTATTTAGAATGTTAAAAGAGTGCATTATTGATGAACCAAAGGCAAATTATATACTATTCCTTAGGCAGAAGTAATGTTTTCTTCCTCATTGCTTCTGTAGTGCAATTTATAACTCATCTATTTCATATCTCAGTGAGTTACACTGAAGCTTGTAATTGACAATTACAGTGGACTAGAAGCTGCCATTTGTATTTTAATAATGCCTAATATTTTAAAGCACCTACGGAGATCTGTGTGAAATACTCTTAAAAAGATACTTTATTATTTACAACTCTGTGAGTTAGATACTATTAACTATCTCCATTTTAGAAGAAACAGACTGCAACATAAAAAATTATCTACAAGTGTAAAATAAAGAAAACCCTTAAGCCATATAAAATTAGCAACTATTTTTGTGTATAATTTCGTCTTGGAGCTACATTAAACATCAGTGATAGTTAAGAACAAACACTTGGCAGTTAGACACACTCAAATGCATGTGTAAATTATATTTCGAGCCACTTACAAATACGAATTGCACTGGTATTATTATCTTTTTATTATGTATAATAAAGTTGAGTAAGCTTTCAACTCATTTCTAGAATTTGATGTAAAGTAACAGCATTTCAAAAACACGGGTTAAAACAAATGTAGTTTGTTCAGTATGATGTTAGTTTTTTTACATGGCCTTACTTTGTGTTCTTGGAGATGAGGATACCTAAAGCCAATGTTATGTCTAAAAAGCTGTATTTAATACTCTTAGTATGCTACACATGATTACGTGTTCAATGAATGCTTACAGAATTCTTCATGATGCTGATTATAATCCTCTGCATCGCTAAGGGCAGACAGCTGTTTACTAGAGATATTAATGCAGGACGGAGCACATACGTGAAACAGTAAATAACACACGAAAATATGGTGACCTCTTGTATCCAGGTTCTCAACTTAACCATATATATTCATTTAAACAGTCCTTTTTTCTGCCTTCTGAATCTTGAACTAATTCTTAAACCAAACATGTACAAGTTTGGGAGTGTCTATCATGTCCCTACCTGGGCCTCAAAGATGAAAGCTACACAAGCTTCCTGCTCTTATTGGGCACACAGTCGGCTTCATTAGCAGAAACCAGTTTGGGAAATAACCTGGAACGCTGGCGTAGGTCACGAACTCGCGCTCCAAATTTTTGTTCCAAATCGACAAAAGGTAGGCGCTGGGATACCGCCCCCTGAAGCCCCTGTCAGTCAACCTGTCTGTGGGCGGGGCACGCCCAAGAGCTTTTTTTTTCGTGAGCATAACTGCGCATGCGCTCCGGGGAGGCGGGTGACCCTGAGAAGTTGCTGTCGCGCAGTGCGCGGCTTAAGACGTAGCGCGTGCGCAGGAGCTCAGCGCAGAGGCCTGCCGGAAGCTAAGATGGCGTGTGTGTGTTGTCCAGGCCGCAGTTGGCGCCTTATCAGTATCTAAGCCGTGTGTTTTGTGAGGGGCTGTGGCAAAGGCCCGTTCTCCCGCCATGGCCCGGCATCGGAATGTTCGAGGCTATAACTACGATGAAGGTATGTGGCAGGGTCTTGCCGGGACTTCATTGTCGCCGTTCCAGCTGGGATTCCAGCCCGTTGGCATACACTTTGATCTGTGAGTTTCTCGTTAGTGGTGCCAGGGTGGAATTCACAGCAGGCTCAGTTGGAGAAAATAACAGTTCATCTGAATGCCAGCGAGTGGCGTTGTTTTATGTCGTGATTTCTGCCCTCTGGGATTGGTTTTATTTTAGGGCAGGAGAGTGCTGCACGTCGTCCTATGGGGAGGACATTTGCGGAGGTTGGGATTCGGTGATATTTGTGCACGTCACCTCTCCCTCCCATTGTTTCCTCCCAGGTCGGGTACACAGTTGCCTCCTTCTAGGTGTTCTCTTCCGACCCCACTTTAAAAAATGCCCACGAAATGATCCTCGCTTGTAAAAGACGGATTGATTTCATGCTTACCTTCAATTGTTAGGCTGTAACTATTAGATATACATGGTGAATCTTCTGTGTTTGTTCATGCATACATTTTGTGTAGAACCTGGCTTGAGCTAACTGAACTTAGGTTGTATGAGTTTCAAGTTAAATTGGAAACTTAGGAGACGATAAAAAAGATATTAAAACGGCCTAATTAATAAGTGGATCAGATGATCTTGAGGTGTATACTCCGTTCTTGGTTGATAATGCTCAATATAAATGTTTTTTGGAATGGGAAAAAAAGCAACACTAGAAGCAAGGGGGCTCCAGAAAGTACTTACTGATTTTTAAAAATGAAATAAAAAATGTGCATGTGAATATTCTCTAGGAGTTTAAAAGGAGTTAGAATTAGTTTAGGATAAGTGCATCATCTCCTTGTAGTAGGATGTAGGCATCACCAAGCATCATACAAACTAAAATTATAAACAAATATGAAGGACTGCAAAAAAGGAGTTAAGACCTGTTGCTTTTTTTTTTTTTTAATTTTTTTTTTTTAACGTTTATTTATTTTTGGGATAGAGAGAGACAGAGCATGAACGGGGGAGGGGCAGAGAGAGAGGAGACACACGGCGAAACAGGCTCCAGGCTCTGACCATCAGCCCAGAGCCTGGCCGATTCAACTCCGGACCCGTGAGATGTGACCTGAGACTGGCACTTAACCGACTGCGCCACCCAGGCGCCCCCCTGTTGCTTTTTAAAGTGCTAATAGTCTAAGTGTGCTTAATATGTTAGTGGTTGTTATTGGCACTGTCAACAGATTATTCTAGAACATCAGTATGCCCTAACCATAGTGAAGGGTAGCTAACACCCTGTACTGCATTTGGAAATTCGCCTCGCCAGCCTGGTACATGTTAGGTTCCTGGTGTTCACTTCAGATTGGAGGTCGTTTTAAGTGTATGCAGTGGATTTATTGCATGTGGATCGCTGCTACCTGAGGGATGACTTTAGGCCCGAGAGATAGTTTTGCAGTTATGACAGGAAAAGTATGGATAGGCCTAATTGCAATGTACTCATTTCTTCAATAAGTATGCATAATCTCTTCAACCAACATTAATTGAGTGCCTATTCTTCATTAATTGGGTGCTTGGAGTACTGCTCCAAGCTTTGGGGAAAAATAGTAAGATGTTTGAGGGACTGTAGAGGGGGAAATACACAAGGAACCGATGATTCGAGTATGACATGCTACAAAAAGTACTCCCAAGATGCTGTGGGAGCTACTACTTAAGTGAGAACACCTTATTCCCGAGTGGGTTGGAGGAGTTTAAAGCAGGATTTCTGTGTGAAGGAAGGCTTCCTGGATGAGAGGTGCGGGTCCTGTGGGAGTGAGTGCTAAATATCTTTTCACCTGGGCAATCCCAGGTCAGGTTGGTTTTTTTGGTCTTGTTTCTTTGGAACAATTGATGATGTCATAAACAAGCTGTTCCTGTAGCATGGGAGGTTCCTCCCTATTTCCTGCTTATAAAAGTTCTACTCATTTTAAGGGTCCAGTTTATTCTTCTTTTTTTTTCCCTAATGTTTCCTTTGTATTATTTTCAAATAATAATTTGAAAATTCTCAAAAGTAATATAACTTTATTAGAGTATGTGCTTTAAAACCTATTGGTTCCTCAATTTAACTCTCACTTTGTTCTTCTCTGTTGTTTGGATAGTACCTTACATGACTGTCTTTAGCTAATGCTCAATTAGCTACTAATTTTTAATTTTTTTTAACGTTTATTCATTTTTTGAGAGACAGAGAGAGACAGAGCATGAGCGGGGGAAGGGCAGAGAAAGAGAGGGAGACACAGAATCCAAAGCAGGCTCCAGGCTCCGAGCTATCAGCACAGAGCCCGGTGCCAGGCCCGAACCCACGACCTGTGAGATCATGACCTGAGCCGAAGTCAGACACTCAACTGACTGAGCCACCCAGGCACCCCTCAGTTAGCTACTAATTTAAAAGTGCCAGGAGGGCATAGTCTATTCTTTATTGTTCTGTTTACTCTGTTGTTACATTTACTCCAGTAGCTGGTAAAATGCTTTATGTGCAGTAAATATTACAAAATTTTGTCAAGGAAAAGAACCGCTTTACAAAAATCCTAGGACAGAATTCTCTTCATCTTTATTTATTTATTGGGAAACAGAGTGCTGGCGGGGGAAGGGGGGAGGGAGGGGGAGAAAGAGAGAGAGAGAGAGAGAGAGAAAGGGAGAGAGAGAAAGGGAGAGAATGAATGAATCCTAAGCAGGTTCCACCCCCATCTCACAACTGTGAGATCTCTTGACCTGAAGTGAAATCAAAAATCAAGAGTCGCAGGCTCAACCGACTGAGCCACCCAGGTGCCTCTCTCTTCATCCTTTTATATTGTGGCACTGTTGGGGCGCCTGGGTGGCTTGGTCGGTTGAGCATCCGACTTTGGCTCAGGTCATGATTTTGAAGTCCATGGGTTCGAGCCCTCACCCCATGTCGGGCTCTGTGCTGACAGCTCAGAGCCTGGAGCCTGCTTCAGATTCTGTGTCTCTCCTCTGTCGCTTCATTCTCTCTCTCTCTCTCTCTCTCTCTCTCTCTGTCTGTCTGTCAAAAATAAATAAACTTTATATTGTGGCACTGTTAGGGTCACTTTCAGTTGGAAAACTAACCTGGTAAAAAAGATTCTTGCCTTTAATGTCTAATTTTTTTTTTTTGTAAATGACTCATTTATAAGTTGCTACCTTAGGATTGTGATCTAATAATTTATTCACTGGTACATATTTTTATCCAATAGTTGTATTTGTCTAATTTTTCTTTGCCATAAACATTTGGTTTCAGCATTTGAACATGCTGTTCCTGATACATAAATACCCTGAGAAACTAGGTACCTATCCTTTGGAGTTAGTTTCAATACTACTTTCCTGGGGATCTTTCTCTAGCCACCACACTTCCAGTTCTGTTTTTGTTGTTCACGTGTGTGTTCCCAAATCAGTCTATATTTCTCATGTCTCAGACACTTGTCATATAATTTTTTAATTGCCTGTTTTTTGTGTTTGGTTCCTGTTAGAGTTTAGGTTCCTATAGATCTGGGAATGTTCCTGTCACTCACTGTTGCCCCTCAGATATCTTTATTAGTCCTTGGCATAGTCTATCATGTGAATAAATACCTTTATGTAAATATATTTATGTTTCTTGGAGGTTTTAGTTTTAAATTGTTTGATTCATTACTTTATAATAAAACAAGAATTGATTTAGTTCCAAACATGTGCTAGGTAGTTGGCTAAGACAAAGCCTTGCCCAGAAGGAGCTTATAGTCTCATGGAATGACATAGATGTATAGTGCTTTGAAGACAGACAGTTGGAGGAGTGTGCTAGAGAATAAAAGTGGTAGGGGGCTTGCTGCTCTCCTGGAATGGTCAGGGAAGGTAGTTGTCAGGGAAGATGTATGAAACAGGTGACATTTGAGCTGGAACCTTAACTAGGAAAAAGAAGCAGCTTTAGGAAATCTGGGCAAAGTGCATATTCTGGTGACTAGGAAAAGAAGTCCAATTAGCGTGAACAAAGCACAAGGGAGTTTAGGATAAGATGGTTTTTATAGAAATTAGCTTGACGTGAAGAAAATCTGTTCTCATGGTCTGATTGTATACCCTGTGCTAGTCGATTGTATGGGAAATAAATGCTTAGGTCATAGACAGCACTTGGTGAAAAAAAAAAAAAAAATGAATGGATGGCTTATTTCAGGTTTTAACACCAGAGAGACAATTCAAATTTGTGGCCTGTGGTGTTATCGTTTTTTGATTGCATAAAGTGAAAACTTGGAAAAATTTTAATGAAACCCAGTTAGCTTAAAAAAATGAAGAACTGTGTATATCTTTAAAAAAAATTTTTTTTTAATGTTTATTTCTGAGACACAGAGAGACAGAGCATGAGTAGGGGAGGGGCAGAGAGAGAGGGAGACAGAGAATCTGAAGCAGGCTCCAGGCTCTGAGCTGTCAGCACAGAGCCCGACGCGGGGCTCGAACTCACAAACCATGAGATCATGACCTGAGCTGAAGTTGGTCGCTCAACCAACTGAGCCACCCAGGCGCCCAGAACTGTGTATGTCTTTATGCATAAAGTCAGTAAGTACCTACTTTGTGGATAAAATTTTTAGAATTTTTTGGAAAAGCAGACATTCCAAGTTCCTGTAATTTTGAGGGATGGTTTAGTTTGGAGAAAGTTCTGATGCTTCCTTGTTAATAACTAAGAATACAAAAAGAACTTGTAAATAAATTTATCTTTTGTGTTTTTATTATAGATTTTGAAGATGACGATCTCTATGGCCAGTCTGTAGAGGATGATTATTGTATTTCGCCATCAACAGGTATTTGATTTCCATTATTTGGGGGTTTAAAAATGTTAAGTAAGTATCATTGTCATTCTAGGACTAGAGTGTTCCATAAGGCTATGATATTATGTAATGTTTAAAAGATAATTGTATGTTAACTTTTAAAGGTGTATAAAATCATTTCTTTACCTAAGAAAATAATTTAAAGTATTGATTTCATCATTTAGCTTTCAACAACAATTTGAAGAAAACTTTGAAAAGTATGTTTTTTCCAAAATTCTTTGTAATATGCAGTTAATCTAAATTTTACTGAAATGGTAATTTAGTCAATAATGAAAACCTAAAACTTTTGAAAGCAGATAGCAATTAATTTTATATACTCAGGGATCTCTTGAATATTAGAAACATTGAGGTGTTACATATAGACTACGTTTCATATAGTACTTCAGTTTACTGTTATATAGTTTGTTAAATAAACCAAATATATGTAGTTCAGACTTCTGATGGAGCCAAAGAGTCATGTAGAGTTCATTTTTTGGTAGGACTGGGCATCAGTTTGTATCTCCTGCCTACCTGCTGAAAGAGTTCTTTGTCACTGTATAAAGAAAACATGAAACATTCATATATTCTTTTCAGCAAATACATAATGTTCGACCAGACCTTTTCTCATAATTTCCCTAATAATATATTTGTCTTCAAATTTCATTCTGTTCTATAAACAGTTAGTTAAAATGCCCTGCTAAATTTTACTATGCTGTGAAAGGGTAAAATTAAATACAGTTAGGTACAACATAAGTATAATTCACAGCACTCATTCTCTACAAGTTTAAGGGCTCTATATTAAGGGCTTAATATAATTAACATTCTATCAAAATCCACTTTATCTTTAATCCCATTTAGTCTCTGAAGCTGCCCTGTAGACCTGTACCTGCTTTAATCTCACTTTCAGTCTCTGATGACCAAATATGTCCCTTCTGACTTTTTAGAATCCCTCTTCCCTATAAAGCAGAGATACTCCACAACTTGTCTTAGCACCTCTCCTTATTGCTCTGAAATGCATCTAGCTCTTGATTTCTGCTTTCCTCATTTAGCCTTACTACTATCAGGGCCTTTCCAATCTTCCTCTAGTGTTACACACTTACCATTTAGGATCCTGTTAGGAGATAGAAATTGTACCAGTCATTTTGCCAGAGAGTATTTATTTATTTATTTATTTATAATGTTTGTTTATTTTTGAGAGAGAGAGAGAGCACAGGCAAGGGGAGGGGAGAGAGAGAGAGGGAGACACAGAATGCAAAGCAGGCTCCAGGCTCTGAGCTGTCAGCACAGAGCCCGACGCGGGGCTGGAACCCATGGACTTCGAGATCATGACCTGAGCTGAAGGCAGACACTTAACTGACTGAGCCACCCAGGCACCCCTGCCAGAGAGAATTTAATACAAAAAAATTGTTAGCTAGGTTTTAGAGAACAAAAAAATGCAAAAAGGGCGAGCAAAGTGTCAGGGAGGTGGTAACTTCAGGAAACATTTACAGTTCTGAGTTCCTGGAGGAGCACGTGGGCGAGGTCAGACCCAACCTTTTAGAAGCTCCTGGAGGTGCTTCTAGCTGGAACTTAGACCTGTGACAGGACGGTGCTGCTTTGCTTCTGAAGTTCAGAGGAGGGGCTGTGGAACGGAGACTCAGACCTCTGAGGAGGGGGACCGTGCATGGCTGGTACCGGTGCCTGCAAAAGGACCTTGTGAACCTGGGATTCAGCCTTTTCAACAGGGAGTTCTAGTCAGCGGCTGGTCAGGGTGTCTGAGGGATGTGGGCAGGGGCACACTGAAGCTGGTTCTGGGAGTTTTGGGAAAACTGCTAACTGGTACTAACTGCTGTTACTGCAGCGTGCAGTGTTGCTGGGCAGATGGGGGATGGACAAGAAGCAGAAAGGAAAGGAGCACGTGTCTTCCTCTTCTGACCTTCCAGTCTCCCTCTAGCATCTCCCCATTGGCTGATCCTAAAAGGGAGCCAGCTGTCAAAGAAATGAACTTCCTAGAGACTGCAACCCCAGCATCACAAAGCAGAGTAAAGAAGACTGGGTTACAAGCTCAGAGATGGCTTAATCATCATGCCTTTAGAGCTCCTTTGCTGGGATTCAAGACCACATTTTGTAGGGATGAAGGATAAAAGAAATTTCATTTTTTTCAAGGTACCTCTGAGACACTTGCCATTTGCAGTGTTAAAAAAACTTCACGGGTTAACCCTTTGGGGTTCCTACGATATACTGTCACAGTTGACTAGGTGATAAAGTGATATCTGGTAGCATTAACTTTATCACTCATATTTTAAGTGCAGTGGAGAGCATGGCATGTTCATGAAACTGAGAAGATGATGTGAGTGTGATAATTAGATTGGAGTATTTTATTTTATTAGAGAGAGAGAGAGCAAGAGCGAGAATGCACACCTGAGCAGAGGAGAGGGGCAGAGGGAGAGAGAGAGAGAGAGAGAGAGAGAATCTTAAGCAGGGGCTTGGTCCTGGGACCCTAAGATCGTGATCTAAGCTGAAATCAAGAGTCAGACACTCAACCAACTGAACCACCCAGGTGCCCCCAGATGGGAGTTTTTTAAAAAAGCTCTTACATAGTAGAGACTGGATTGAAGGTAGTACATTAGGGGATGTACATAGATTAGTTTGGAGATGGGTTTATTAATCTAGAGGAGATGAGGATATTTGAGGACAGTGTTCTCAAAGTGTGGTCCAGGTACCATCAGCATCACTGGGGAATTTATTAGAAAAGTAATTCTTGGCCCTGTTCAGAGGGGGGCACAGCTGCTCTTTTATTTAATAAGCTCTCCATAGTCTGTTGATGTTTGCTTTGAGAATCAAAGTTTAGGACAAGGGTGGTAGCATTCGATTTGGAGATAGATTCAAGAGATACCTTACAGGAATTAAGGGCTACAGGATCTGGAAGTTGGTTGAATCTGGCTTGCACAGTGTGGAAACCTTTATAGAGAGAGGGACTGCTGAAAGACATCTTAATCTTGCAGGTTAACACATTCATTTATCTAGGCTTATCTGGATAACGTATTCTTGATCTCATGTAAGGAACTGATGGCATACCACGTCAGGCATTCAGAGGGTGTTTTTTTTGTGTGTGTTCATGGCCTCGCTTTCTTGAGGTCAGAGTTTATTCCTTTGTCTCTCATAGGTCTTGACGGTGTGTCTTGTGTGTGGTTCATTTTCAGGATAGTTTTACTCCTTGAGTTACTTCTGTACTATACACCAAGAAGTCAGTGACTTTATTGAAGTGGGAGGTACAGTGAAATGGTTTTGAGTTTTTTCTGTGACAAACTGTGTTTTTAATAAATGCATGTGGTTTGGGGTCTTTTAGTTTTTCAAAACATGTATGCAATAGTGATGTTAGATCAGAAACTTATTTTTCTTTTTTAGTGATATATTTTCCAAGTGATTTTCAATGAAAAATGAATAGTATTAGAAGGATGCTCTGTTCTTAAAGAAGCAACCAGTGTCATTGAAGAGCTGATCATATTCATGGTCTTATGAATTCTGATAATTGAGTGATTTTTATCAATTAATAGGAATTTTTCTAAAATTCATCAGCACATGTACGTTTTTGAACTCTAGGTAGGCACCGTTGTCCTGATGGAAAGGGAATTTCTAAATGTTACAGCTTTTTTTCCTTTGGAAAGATTGACTTTGATATTGCGTGTTGAACATAGCCAAGGAATTGAGGATGGCGAAAAGAGCCTACATATACAACTTTATTTGAACAGTTGTGGGTTTTGTTTTGCCTACTGTAATTGGAAGTGTTAAAGGATAAACTGAGGCATATTGCAATTAGTAAGAATTTATTTGAACAAACACCAGTTTGAATCAGGCAGCTCCAAACTGGAAGTGGTTATGGTCCCCCCACCAGATTGGACTAAGGGGCAGGGATTTTATAGAGAAGATAGGAAACAAAGCAAGGAAATTATTTGATTGACTATAGCTTAAAGGTTGCATTATTTGAGAAAGCCTAGTTGGATTTTTGTGATTGGTGGTTCTTTTTAAAAATTTTTTTTAACGTTTATTTATTTTTGACAGACAGACAGACAGACAATGCAAGCGGGGGCAGGGCAGAGAGAGATGGAGACACAGAATCCGAAGCAGGCTCCGGGCTCTGAGCTGTCAGCACAGAGCCTGACTTGGGGTTTGAACCCACAGGTTGAGTCGTGATATCATGACCTGAAACTAAGTCTGAAGCTTAATCAACTGAGCCATTGAGGTACCCCTGATTGGTTGTTCTTCTTGATCCTCAGGCTTAGGAGTTGACTCTGGCTTAGTTTTCCATTTGTTAGCAAGGCATTGGAGCCACTCGGTCAAAAGGCCTCCAAATGATTGCTTAAACAGTAGTATTCATTCCATTCCAACTCAGAATCTTTATTAAGCATCAATTAACGTGTAAGAAAAACCCAATTCTAATAAATTTATGAATTAATTTGGTATAAGGAAGTATGTTAAATGTCCTCTTCAAATGTGCCAAAGTGGTATGGTGGGTGGAACATTAGTCCTGCTTGAAGGGTGTGGGAAGGCTTCTGGAAGGACTGGGACATTTGGGAGGAAGAATGGCATCTTAGACAGAGGAAACAGTAGTGCTTGAGCAGTGGCCTCTATGTGAGGCTTATTTGAGAACACTCATTTGCAGCAGGAAAGAGGGCTGGGAACGGAAATAGGCAAATTCTGGAAGGCAGTTTTTAATTTTTGGTGTGTCATGTCAGCTTATTGGAGGTTTTTGAATAAGGGGTAATATTTTTGGAAAGGAACTGATGACCATATACAAAGTGGACTACAGGGGGATTTGTAGGCCAGTTTTTCCTAACTTTCCCTGATATCAGTCATCTGGGAATAGTATAAAAATACAGATTCCCTGGGGGTGCCTGGGTGGCTCAGTTGGTTAAGCGTCAGACTTGGGCTCAGGTCATGATCATGCGATTCACAAGTTCAGGCCCTGCTTTGGCTCTGTGCTGACAGCTTGGAGCCTGGAGCCTGCTTCTGATTCTGTCTCTCTCTCTCTCTCTCTCTCTCTCTCTCTCTCTCTGCCCTTTGCCCACTCGTACTTCGTCTCTCCCTTTCTCAAAAATACATAACACATAAAAAAATACAGATTCCGGTCCCGTTTCCAGCATCACAGAATCAGAACCTCCAGAGGAGGAAGCTCAGGCAGTTGTATCATTAATGAGTGCTTCTTACATGATATTCAATTTAAGGTGTTTAGGGAACAATTTGAGGCAGTTTAGGAGTCAGGTTTTGAATTCTTTGAAATTTCATATATGTTTAAATGCCTTAAGTTTTAAAAGTAATTATGGGTGTTCCAATTTTTCAGAAAGCATTTCCATCAAAGTTTGTGATTTAAATTTAGAAAAGAATAGTATTTTGTATTTATCCTTTTCTCTCCTCTTTCTTTCTCTTTTTATTGTATTTCTTGCCTTTTGGGTTCTCACTTCAACTTCAGAGATTTGGACTGTTTTTTCCCCACTAGTAGCTATTTTCCCTGGGGACTTTTTCTACCTTCTTTCCCGCCCCAATTCCCAGCAAATCCAGCCAACAGCATTTCTAAAACAGTAGCCACAGTGTAGGTTTCTGAGTTGGATTTGTGTGTAGATTGGGGATAAGAATCCATCCGTTCCCCCCCCCCCCCCCCCCCAGAAAAAAAATAGTTCCTCTGAGGTTGAGTAGCAGCCTGGATATTGACAACTTCCTTTTCCCTGTCAATTATTTCCTGAGTGAAAATTGTTGAGGGAATTATCTGATTTTTTTCCTTACTTAAGTTTTGATTTTCCTTAGGGTTTTCCTCACAGTTGAAAGATAAGAGAAGAAGTTAGGGAAAGTATTTTTTTTTTTTTTTTTTGTTACTTTTAGGCTAAACTGAGTAGTTTATTACAGCTAGGAAAATAATTTCTAAATTACCAGGCACAAAGTGGTCCAGTTTACATTTTTTAGTACCCCAGTTATTATTAACTAATTAATTAATTACTTTAATGTTTATTTTTGAGAGAGTCAGGGAGGGGCAGAGAGGAAGACAGAGGATCCCCAACAGTCTCCATGCTGTCAGTGCAGAGCCTGATGTGGGGCTTGAACTCATGGACTGTGAGATCATGACCTGAGCCAAAACCAAGAGTTGGATGCTTAACCAGCTGAGCCACTCAGGCATCCCACCCCATTTCATTATAATAGCAGTGCTCTATTCTCCTTGTACTAGAGGGAGATAAATAGGGGTATATATGCAACATAATATGTGTATTGTTAAATAAAAAGGTTTTTTTAATGTTTATTTTTGAGAGAGAGAGAGAGAGACACACACACACAGAGCATAAGTAGGGGAGGGTTAGAGAGAGAGGGAGACACAGAATCTGAAACAGGCTCCAGGTTCTGAGCTGTCAGCACAGAGCCCAACATGGGGCTCGAATCCAGGAACCATGAAGACCTTAGGGTCTTCAGAATTGCATACAAAAAATAACAGAACTGGGAAAAAATAGGATCGTGACAGATCACTGAGCCTGTAAAGTACTGCAAAAACAGTAATGAAAATGCTTGCACATTTGAAAAGATACCTTAACTTCCTAATAAAGAAATATTCCAGTAACTATAAAACTTTAAATTTTTAAGAAAGGTAAAAGCTTAACAGAAATGTGAGAAATAATTAAACTAACAAGTCATGTTGCAAAGGCAAAATGCTCACAGATCTCGGAGAGTCAAGAAGCGGTAGGCATGCACAAAACAAGTCACAGGTCCTCCAAACTGAGCCTAGAGGAAGAATGTGGCGCGCTCTGGCTTTATGGTACGGTCACAGTTACGGTGTAAGCTGTGGCAGACGTTACTTTGTACCTGCTGCTTTTAGGTGATGATGCAAAACATCGAAGTGGGGGCAAAATCTCATAACCAAAGCAACTTGAATGTTTTACCCTCATCGTTCTCCTGTTTACCATTTGGTGTGAGTAGGTTGTGTTAAGGAAACACGCAGTATGGCAGAATAGCCGCACTCTCTCTCTTACTTGTTCTCTTTGTCCCAGGTGTCTTCCACCTGCTCCTCAGTTTTTCTGATGTTCTTACCTCATTTTGTATAATCGCGCCAGTCTTCGATGACTGTGCCTCTGTAGCACTCATCTGTACTACTCATTTGGCTCTTAAAATGCATCGTTACGTTTTTTTCTTTGCTTTTACTACTAACCTCTAAGGCCATGGTTTATATAGTCTATGAATAGATAGCACTTATGCCACAGCCCTCTGAGTAGGGGTATTACACATAAGCCATAGCATTATCTAGTGTTTGTATGTGCATTATTTATATGCATTGGTTATAGACTTTATGGTTAGTTTCTCTTTCTTTCATAGGTCATGCCTTCCTGAAAACATGCACAAAGGTTCAATGTGGGAACACTAAGCAGTAGACTTAAGTGTTATGTGCTCTTCCAGAAAGCTAAATACTATAAAATCCCTAGGAACACTTTGCGTGTAGAATGCTGTATTTCTACCCTCTGTCTTTGTAACTTTCTATCTTTCTTAACTTATTCTTTAATTATATTTCTTCACAATTGAACACAAGCTGCAGGAATTGAGGTCAGTGGGCATCCAGCTGAGGTGGAAGAGTCAGCCCTGGGGGCATTCATGATGATTTTTCTTTTTTGCTCACTTATATTTGGTTGATGATACGCAGACATATATTGACACTTTCATACTTTGGCTTTCCTCCTTTTAATGAAATATACAATACCAGTTACACATTGAGGGATGACACTGAGTGCTATAGAATGGCACAGGCTGATATCTGAAAGTCAGAGTTAGGTATGTGATGCTATTATGCAGTGTAGACAATGCGTGATTGAAAGGAGGTTTTCAAAAATTAAGGTCTATGATTTTGATCAGCTGTTGGGTTCAGACAAAATTAGCAATTCTCAGAAAGTGAAAATTAAGTTTTTAGTATTTTCTTTTTTTTAAATTTTTATTAAAAAAATTTTTTTAATGTTTATTTTTGAGAGAGAGAGAGTGGGGCGCCTGGGTGGCGCAGTCGGTTAAGCGTCCGACTTCAGCCAGGTCACGATCTCACGGTCCGTGAGTTCGAGCCCCGCGTCAGGCTCTGGGCTGATAGCCAGAGCCTGAGCCTCAGTCTCGATTCTGTGTCTCCCTCTCTCTCTGCCCCCCCCCTGTTCATGCTCTGTCTCTCTCTGTCCCAAAAATAAATAAACGTTGAGAGAGAGAGAGAGAGACAGAGCATGAGTGGGGAGGGGCAGAGAGAGAGGGAGACACAGAATCCAAAGCAGGCTCCAGGTTCTGAGCCATCAGCACAGAGCCTGACGCGGGACTTGAACCCACGAGCTGTGAGATCATGACCTGGCTGAAGTTGGATGCTTAACTGACTGAGCCACCCAGGCACCCCTTTAGTATTTTCTTAATTGTACAAATAAGCAAGTTTGGTATGTGGTTTGAAATATTTGTTCCAAAGAAGAGAATATGGCAGGGAAGATGGGGTGGTAGGCAGGGATGAGGTGTTAGGAAAGGTAGTGTTTGAAAACTGTGGCGAGTCAGCTCGGTGAAGGTTGTGGAGATAAAAAGGAGGATGATTGTAGAGGCCAGTGAGTAGTTAGTAAGGACGTCTGAGCAGGATTTGGAGTATGGTGTGTTTTGTCCCTGTTTTGTTTTTAGCTATTACTACAGAATGTGGGTAAATGGCTGTAGGTGGTTGGTCAGCATCTTTTGTTTTTATTTTCACTTTAAAAAAAAAAGACCTATTGGAAAGTGGCTGTGCTACAGCATTCTTCCATCATTTTCTGTTCTAGCTGCTCAGTTTATTTACTCGCGACGTGACAAACCTTCACTTGTTGAGCCTGTAGAAGAATATGATTACGAAGATCTGAAAGAGTCCTCCAATTCTTTTTTGAACCATCAGCTAAGTGGAATTGATCAAGGTATAGTAAAAAGTAGTTTATCCGTGCTTCGTGTTTGAAAATGATTGGTAATCGGTATACCAGAATTTTTCAGTTTTATTGTGATTGTTCATGATAGTGATGGTGGGAAGGAATGGTACAAATATATCTTGTCTCGTCAAGGGAAATTTACATTTTATTAAGTATATTTTATGAGGAATGTATGTTTAACTGTATGGCTGAAACATTGGTTGTGTGGCTATTTAACTGGAATTTTTGACTGAGATCTTTGTTTTATCTCTTCAGGAGAGAAACTTCAGTGATTTGTTTTCTTGTACCAATATTTATTATTTCATAAGCTCTAATAGGGAAAGAGATATATTGTGGATAAAAATATAATCATTATAAATAATTTTTGCCAAGGAAAGAGGAGAGTTGTACATCCTAATATAGTTTCAAATTCCTTTTTTTAGTTTTCAAGATTGAGTGTTCTTCCATGGCACCATTTAAGTACAGCCTTTTAATTATTTTCTGTTCTAGCTCGTCTTTATTCATGCCTTGATCACATGAGAGAGGCACTTGGAGATGCCGTGCCAGATGACATATTGGTCGAAGCAGTTCTGAAGAACAAGTTTGATGTGCAGAAGGCCTTGTCACTGGTTCTGGAGCAAGATAAAATGCAGAATTTGAAGGTCAAGAGTGAGGGAGCAGCATCCACAGGGAAGACTGCAAAAGGTATGCTTTTCCTTGTTCTCCTTTAGTGGTTTTACAGCTAATGTTTTAAAAGAGGCACTGATTTGCTCAGGCTGTTAAGAAATATGGGCGGAACATTTTGCATGTTACAGTAATCCTGATTTTCATCAATTGATTTTCCACTTTGTGAATTTTTAAGCTGAGTGCTTTGTTTTCTTCCCTCTGTTACAGCTTGTTTTTTCATAATTTCCCTTTGTTTTGTAACTAGCAGGATATAGGGGAAATAAAATCAGACAAAAACAAGCCACTTGTTGCTTCTTGTCAGTAGCTTAGAGAGCTTTTTAATTATTGTTGTTTTTCTAACTCTAATGGGTCAGGAGGTGGAAATTAATAGCCAGACGATTAATTACAGAAATCCCTTTATTTTTATAGTATTTATAAATATGTTAGTTTTATTGAAATATCATAAGTATCATACTACTGTTTCATTTCAAAGCCAGATCTTTAATTTTAAATTTATAGAATATGGGGTTAAGCTTGGAAATTTAATTGGCATAAGAAGGGAACTGAGGTACCTCTGTAATAATTGGTATGGTATCTGTCAGTATGACCATGGTGATTTATTAACTGGGCTGGTATTTCCTGTAACCTGAGGACTAGATTTTTTTACCACATCAAAGTCGTATGCAATCTGTTACTATGAAACAAGGATGGGTTTTATTATCTATTTAAATTAAAAAAAATTTTTGATGTGGAGGCACTTGTAACTGACCCTATGAAAATGAGTCTTTAATATTTCATCTTTATTAATAGTTTATCCCAGAGATGACAGGATGTTATTTGTTTGCTTGTTTTTAACACATTAAAAATGTAGGAGAAGATAAACCTAGTTCTTTTCATTGGTCTTTTAATTGTTTTGAATTTGAGATAACCATGACGATAATTTAAGTACATTAAAACCTCATATTATAAAATTTGTGAAAAGTAGAATATTGACTAACTTGATATTTACATTTGTATATATTAGTGAACAAAGTATGAAGGTCACTGTAGATGGTTAAAGGAAGGTAAAATTCCTTTATTACTGTTTTTTTTAGAGTGTTCACTTATTAAATAATGATCAAATATTTGATCGCTTTATTCATGCTGTAATCAGAAGAAACATTTAGTAATTAAATGCCTCATTTCATGTTTCCTTTTGGTTGCTGTGACTGTCTTCTGCATATGTCAACCTATTCATCTGAAAATTAATGGCTTTTGTAAGGTAAGGAGTCTTATTATCTTCCTCTCAAGTTTCAGCTGATAATGTTCAAAGCTCTTGTCCTCAATCCGCAAACCATTTGGATTGTAGTAGCAAACCCTCTGATTTTTCTGGCCCACTAGCAAAATATGGATTATATCATAATTCCTCAGTTGTACCAAGTCACTATTTACTCCATAAAAAAAAGAAACCTGACAGACCTAAAAGTGAAAAGAAACTAGAATCATGTAAGTTAACAAAAGAGCTTTCGCTAGCTGACCTCATTGATGATGCGCCAAGAGATTCTTGTAAAAGTCAGCCGTCAGTCAGATTATCATCCACGGATGGTCTGGAAAGTCTGTTTTCAAAGAATCTAGGTGCTGATCTGTTTAGACCTCATGAATCGGAATGTGTTTCCAAAGATGATTCTGCATTCAAAGAAATACCAGATTTAAAATCCTTAATGATAAAGAGCACAACGCCTAGTAACTCTTTATGTATTCAGAATAATTCACTTCCTGCTACCCATAACATTCCAGTACAAAACAACTTAGGAAATTTAAATAGTCCTTTGCTCTTAACTAGCTCATTGGAAAATATAGCTCATGATAATTTAAATACTAGTAAAATGACTGAAGTTGGAAGTGTTTCTTCAGTTGAACAGAGTGCCAAGAATTACATTTTAAAAGATGACAGTCCGCAGTTTGCCGGGTGTGAAAGTCCATCCCTAGCTGAACTGTTTCAGGAACACAAAGAAAATAATCCAAGCCAGTGCTTTACTTTATCTGATCTTTGTAACCAGTCATCTGCCAGTTTCACAGATCTCAGTTTGGGATCTTTTCCCTTGTCAAGGCTAGCAAATCGGTATCCATCTTCAACTGGAATATCAGAGTTAACAGGATCTCTGTCGTCTTTGGCATTTTGTAAAGCTTCTCCTACAAGAGACCTTGAGAATTTGTCACTTTCTGATTTGATTGCAGAAACAATTGATGTAGACAACTCTCAGTTTAAGAAGGATTCCTTTAAGCTCAGTGTATCTGAAATGAGTTCACCTGGAATAGATTCAAATATTGATCTTAGTGTCCTTATAAAAACCCCTGATTTTGTTCCAAAACATGTAGTAGACCAATCAGTTGCTCCAACATCAGGAACTAAAGTTTTAAATTCGAAGTTAGGGAAAAATTTCAATTCTGCTAAGGATAATAAGAGAACCAATAAAGGCTCTTTGACTAGGAACCCACCTTTTTCTCTCTCTTGGACCAAGGCTCTTGCTGCTAGACCTTCAGCTTTTGCTTCTACACTGTGTCTTCGTTACCCATTGAAAAGCTGCAAGCGACGCACCCTTGACCTCTATAAGACTTTTCTTTATAGTAGACAAGTTCAAGACATAAAGGACAAAGAAATAAGTCCTCTTATAGCAATAACACCATTTGACTTCAAATCAGCATCTCCTGATGACATTGTAAAAGCTAATCAGAAGAAAGCTTTCACTAGAGAATAGTAACAGGAGAACTTTATAACTGTTGTAGAGTTTTTGTTTTAATTTAAAATCTTTATAGGATTACTGTATATTATGGGATGAGAGTTGTGGTTTTATATTAAAATTGTCTTAAGTCAGTTGATAACTTTAGTTGATAATGTATTTTTGCACTGAAAAAAACTTTTTTTTACTATATTTTCTTTTAGTGATAACGGGCTTTATTTAAGTTGATAGCCTAAAGTGGGTATATATGTTTACAAAATGCATATGGAAACTTGATATTGTGAAATCAAACCTCAGATATTTTTGTTTGAAGCACTCAACTTTATAAGTTTTTACAATGAGACCTTTTCTTTTGTAAAACATTTTTGTGCTTCATTCTTAAATGAAAATGCCACTTGGGATTATTCTAGTTTAGAGATAAAGATTTTTCTTCTGATATGTGGCATAGCATAGGTGAGACATAATTATATTTTAAAATATTAGTGATATCATTCCCATTCATTATTTTTCTGTAGGTGGATAAAATTTTTCTATTAGAAAATTTTAAAATTCCTGACTTTTAAGAATACTGTGGAGGTTGTTGAAATACATTTTTGATGATAATAAAATGAAAATCCTTTAAGGGACCATGTACATATTGAAGTTGGATTAATACATAAATTATTTTTATACATTTTCGAAACCATTTGTCCTAAATGCACACTTTGAAATAAATATATAGAAAGTGTTTTCAAGTATGGTTGCATGCTGTTTGAATAGATAATTTTATCAGATCTCTTTAGCTTTTTCTTATGTAAGTAAGAAAATGTGTTTTCCTCTGATACTGACAGTGTATGTGCTACCATGACCAAGTTTCAGCAGTGTCAGACCAAATCCGAGCTCTTCTAGGCAGTAGAACCAGTATGTAATTCATCCCTGAAAGCAGTGGTCCTCAACTAGCAATCAGAATCGCTAGGGGAATTTTTTTCAGAACAGATGCCGTGGCTTCAATCCAGACATGGTCAGTTAGTCTCAGAGGGATGACATTTTGGGACTGTGTATTTTTAAACAAGTCCCCAGGTGATTGTGATGTGTTACTTTTACTTGAGAACTATTGCCTTGGGGGAAGAACTCAATAGAATGGAAAGAATTACTGATGCTAAGGATAGCACCTGACCAATGTGAATTTGTATTTTATAGTTTCTTGTAATCAGAAATACCAAGGAAAATTGCTAATTAGGAATTATAGTCTTGCATAAGAGGATGCTGATACTGTATCATTAGTATTTCTTGCAAAAAAAAATAGGATCTAAAATGTTAGTTCTTAATGAAAATAAAATAGCTGGCCTTTTCCTAGTAAAGACCTACTTTCTCTGGCAGCTACTTCAGAGTGCTTTTTATAATTTTTCTTTTTTGTATTTCTTGTTTCAGTTTATTTTCAGAATGACATTCCAATATTTTTAGCTGTGTATGATGTTTTTATATCCACTGTTTTGGTGGGAAATCTTAAGCTAGAATTATGTTTTCCTTATTCTTGACCAAACACTTTTTTTTGTGATGCCTTCAGGTTTTGTTTTTAACTGTGTATTTCAGTGTATATCATACTGATGCTTACGAGATGATATAAATTAGGTTATATTTTATGGTCAGTTTTAAAGTTTAAATTACCCCAACTGCTGATTTTGTTTTCCTAGTCTTATACCTTGATGAAACATTTTAGTACTTTTGCAAAATTAGTGTATGACTCATCAACTAGATTTATATATGGGCCCTCTCCAACTTAGAAGTGAATTGTATTCTATGAGTTTGGAACTGACAAAATTCCTGATAGATTAAGTGTTAATGCAAGTGTACCCACTTTGCACGTGAATCCACAGATATTTATGTAACTCATATTAAAGTTGAACAGTGGTACTATTATTTTACCATCTTTTATAACAGATTTTCAAGTGGAAATGTAATACTTTTAAGCCATTAAAAGTAGATTTTGTAGTGAACTAGATTTCCCTTTGTTGGCTCATTAGGATTGTGACTACCATTTATAAGATTATTTCTTTAGGGAAAATCCTATATTGCAGGATGATAGGAAAGGCAACAATTTTTAAATAGGTCTCCCTGCCATTGTCATGGCTCCTGGTCCATCAGGCAAGTACATGACATGTACTTGGCTTTGTTGAGTAAGGAATTGTCAGTCTCTGAGATTCAGAGCGGAGCCGAGAAGACCCTTTGCCCTTTCCACCCTTGGCCTTTGGCCCTTGATAAAGCGACCAGTGCCTGTTTATGGATACACCTCAGTGACGATGATTTGCTCGCACTAAATGCGTACTCTGCACCAACTGCCCGTTTTTGACTGCTGTTTGGTAGCTCAGGTATGCTAAGTGTTTTGATTTATTTTCCAATTCTAATACCAGTTTTGTAGTGCAAAGTCATTTTTATTTGCATTATGATCAAGTGCATTAAAATTTTACTTTAGGAATAGATATAATGTTGTAATTATGTTCTAAATGATACAAAATACAAAAGATATTTAAAATTACTAGTTTTGGTCACGTTTTTTTGTCCTTAAATGATCTAATGTTCATGGATGTTTTGTCCTTTTGCATTCTCAAGTCTTTGGTTGGCTCTTTTGGTTATGATTCTTCTTTCCATTAATTGGCAAGAACTAGGGTTTCACTTCCTTACAGAACACTTTGCTTAACTTTTCTTTTTTGTTTTACCTTTTTCCTATTTCCAGTTTAATAATTGCCATTCCAACCTCCTTCCCTCCTTTGGCTTTTAATTCTTCTTTCTTGAACTTTCCTTTCATCCTTTTGTCTTCTCATATAAGTAGTAATAAATAGCCCAAGTGTGTTATATTTTGTTTTTAGTGTTCGGTGGGAGGTCATACAACTGATTTTCACATCAGAGATAAAACCAGTATAGTGCTTTTCTTTGTATGTAAAGGGAAGCACTGTTAAGATAAACACAGTTAAGAGAAGATAATGGGTTTGTATGTGATTATTTACCTTTTAAATTGATCCTGAATTTATATGTGGACCACTACAAATAAACAAGTGCACAGTTGTACATGAAACTGTGTATCAACAAGTTTTTTTGTCTTGTATTCCTACAAGTATGTATTTGCTTATAGAGTCAGATTTGTAGTAGCCTAAAAATTGTTTTCTATTGTGTGAACAAAGAGAATGTTGACTAAACAGGGAAGGATTGATAGTAATTTCTTTACTAGTTTTCTTTTAAAATTATATAAGACTCAGTATGTGCAATTATACATTGTATTTTTAATTTTTAGGGTGTAAAAGATGTCATTTTGAGTGTATATATACATTTTTGTAAAAGCGACGTTGAAATAAATTACAGTTCTGAGGTTCTCCAAAATCAAGTAAGAAAACAACACAGTTTATCTATAGGGATTTTTAGGTAAGCTTGAGCCTTCAGAATGGAATTTTAATAATTTATGCTGAAGGTACTACTTTTATGTTCCTGTAAACAAATTAAATTTTTTTTTTTTTCAACGTTTATTTATTTTTGGGATAGAGAGAGACAGAGCATGAACGGGGGAGGGGCAGAGAGAGAGGGAGACACAGAATCGGAAACAGGCTCCAGGCTCCGAGCCATCAGCCCAGAGCCTGACGCGGGGCTCGAACTCACGGACCGTGAGATCGTGACCTGGCTGAAGTCGGACGCTTAACCGACTGCGCCACCCAGGCGCCCCAGTTCCTGTAAACAAATTAAAAAAAAAAGAACTACCTGTTTGTAAAGAATTTCCTCTAAGATATTTGCCATTTCAAATTCTTGCTTTCCAAAAGGTAAAATTTCGTATGTATTTACTTTTGAGGACTTAACATAGAAATCCTATTAAAGTATAGGTTATAACGAATATGGATATTGTAATTGCAAGGATGGAAGTAGAAGGGGAAAGAATTGACAGAGTGCCCATTTCTGATGTTGACGTGCCTGGTTTATATTATATGACCGAAAGGAAAACATCACATCATTTTAGTTGCAAGAGATATCACAAGGTGAGCAAAGCAATGATTGTTAACCTCAGATGGGAGGGGGGTTGTGGGTACTTAAACACATAATTGTATTGATTGTAGTGTGGCAGTTACGTCTTTACACTCTCCAAAGCTGACATCTTTGCCCTCCTGATCTAAGCTGCTGCCTCCTCTGTTTCCTATTTTTCTTAGTAGTATCTCTGTCTTCCAGTTGCTTAACCCAGAAACCTAGCTAACATCGTCCTTGATTTCTCTCCCTCATTTACTTACAATTGATTACCGGTCCTATTTTTCCTGCTTTACAAATAAGTAAAAATATCTGTGTATATACAGTTGATTGTCGTTATTTGTGGTAGTTACATTGTATAAAATCACAAATTAGCGAACACTGAGTGCAGTATGCCAACACTGACTTCTCAAATGCTGAAGCATTGCTCTTACAGGAAATACAGGGTTAGGTTCCTTTCATCTTCTGGTCACAACATTTTTGACAGTCAGTATGTAACCTTACTTTATGTATCTATTAAAAGACATTTGTTTAAAATGTATTATTTACATATCATTAATTCATTAACATTGAACTCACAGCCAGTGGCTCTATAACTCAGGCCTGTACAAAGCTTATCCAACACATGGCTTTTATTTATAAGGCACATCACAGCTGCCTTGTACTTAGGAACGCTAGGCAGTGCTTTAGCACTACTCATGAGGACCATTTTAAACAGCAAAGTAGCCAACTAAAATCACAGTGTGAAAAATGTGACACGAAATAGATCATAAAAAGGATACTTGTTTATGGTGTAAGAGCCAAAACAAGAAGGCAGGGTATCTATCACCTTTTGACCCAGCAGGGAATGTGCATGTTGGGTGACTCAGATTTTTTGCTTCTCTGCATTTGTCTGGGAGTGATTGCAAAAGTGCCATAAATAGTGATTTGGAGGTTACCAATAAACTTTAGTGAATAGGTGAATTTCCAAATATGGAAACCGTCAATAACAAGGAGGCATTGTACATTTTTTGACCCCACTGTTCTCCATTGTTATT